TTTATACACCCTGTATTGAAGTAATCTAATGTTGTTAGAATTTGAATGGACTGGCACTTTGCTGAACGTAATAATGCGTAACTCCGTAAGCCTTGTTTTAGACGTTGAATTTCGGTCGCGTGAAATGCAACTAAGACAATAGATAATGAAGGCCGAAGCTTAATGAGGTTTATCATCTCATTATTGTCTTAGCACTGAGTGCATAAATTATACACGTCCTAATTACGCATTCAGTAATATTTTTTGTTAATTGACCGGGAAAAGCAAGACAAAATTTTGTTCATTTCTCGTTCAATTTTTAACCAAATTCAACCAAATTTTAATCAGTTCTTCCTTAGCCGATGGGAAATGCATTCAAAAAATTTCATACGGATATGTTTGGTATTTCTTGAGTTATCGTGCTCACAGACAAACACACACACATACACACACACACATATACATACACACACACACACATACACACACACACACACACACACACATACAAACCCAGATGATTACATAACCTCCTGGCGGAGGTAATGAACAGGTTGATTTTCCAAATTGCACGAGAAACCATTACTTGTTTTAAACACTGTTAGATAAGTGGTTTTAAATAATATACATGAAAACTTTACACGCTTCGATAACACCTGCAGCAGGTACACTCATGCGCCTACGCCATTTAAGTATTGTTTTCATATTGCTTGTTAGCAAACCTTTTCAGTCCATGTGCTCCTTGTACTTAAATTGTTATATTCACGTACGATGTTCCCTTGAAAGTGTGCACAAATGTGAAAATTTACATTGCTATCTGCAGTCGTGTTGATTTCTCCTTCCTCGTTTCCAGGCTTTGTTAATTACCGCACTGCAGTAATTGCACAATGTGCAATTTCAAAAATAATTGCACTGCTCTTAGCCAATCAGAATATTGAGTAATTTTTCATCTATTATTATAATATTGACATGAAAAAATTACTCATTTCTGATTGGCTAAGTGCAGTGCAATTTTAATGTACTTCAGTCAAATGATGCCTGTTTTAAGACCGTTAGTTATGCAGTTTTGCTCTTATTACGCGTAATAGGGTAAGGGAAGTACATTTATTATGCCGAGGGGGGGGGGATGAAGATGTTAAGGGGGGGCTCCGAAATATTTTCTGGCATTAAAGGGGGGGCTCTGAAAGTTCTTGATATACTGAAGGGGGGGCTCTAAACTTTTCAAAGGTTTGACCCCAGCAAAATAAAGTTAAAATTTTTACATCAGTTTCAGGTAAAATTTGCGTAATAAAGTAATTATTTTTGTGAAATGATAACCATTTTTGTAAAATACAGTCAATTTACATGCAATTTGTTTGCGAAATTTGCCTTAGAAAACGCCAGAAATTCAGTCCTAGAGCTTCGAAAATGTAAAAATTTTCTGGGGGAGGACCCCCAGACCCCCCTTTTCTCCCAAAACTTAGTATAAGAGTGCCAATCAATCACAAAAAGCTTTATTATAATTATTACACGTATAATCCTCTGTCATCCCACCCCCCCACTCCAAACGTCAGATGCTTTGCTACGTCCCTGATGGTTGTATTCGAAACCGATTTCAGTTTTAAGATATCCTTAGTCTGCTCTTCTAAATGGATACATGAAATCACCTATAGCTTATTTTTAATTTTTTTGCGCCAGGTTTGTGAAGTAATTTACGCGCCAAAAAGCAAAAAAGCATATACAATTTGCAAGAATGATATGTTCTATGTTTACGGGATATTTCGTACAAACGGGATGGAAATTAAAGAAATTGAAGCATACTGGCACTTTTGCATGCATTTTTGACAGGCATGCAAAGACATTTGCAACAGATGCCGGGAGATACGTTGGACGGGGGCAACATACTGTAAGGTTCCAGCACATTACCCTGATCCAGGAAATCCTGGCCACTACATGAACGTGTTCAAGACTCCGAATACGCTCAATGATGGACAACAACAACCTGTTAATAATTCCACCCCTAGAGCCAATTTAAAATGTTTTAATGACGGTGCCATTTCATCTGGCGCTAGTGAGATGAAAGAAGCAGTAGATCGGTAGTTTTGTTGAGGGGAAGCACTTGAGTATATCAGGCATCTTGAGGAACTGCAAATTGTATCTATGATAAGAGAGAATTCCGGATTGTACTCCTTCGATTCCGAATTCTACAGGGGGGGGGCATTGAAAATTTTAAAAACTTCGAGGGGGGGCATCGAAATTTACCGATAACCTCAACAGGGGCCCTGTAAAAATATGAGCTTTTTTCAAGACATCTTCATCCCCCTCCCTCGGTGTAATAAATGTACTTTCCCTAATAAGCATTGATACTAGCTATGTAGGCAAAGTGACCAAGGTAATACTATTAAGCAATGGAATAGTACAAAACAAAGTCTGAAAACCTGTTACCTTATTGCTTGCTTATGTGTGCTTATTCCCCTGCATGCTTATTACCTTATTACCTTGTTACCTTATTGCTTGCTTATGTGTGCTTACTCCCCTGCATGCTTATTACCTTATTACCTTGTTACCTTATTGCTTGCTTATGTGTGCTTATTCCCCTGCATGCTTATTACCTTATTACCTTGTTACCTTATTGCTTGCTTATGTGTGCTTATTCCCCTGGGGCCGGTTGTATAAAAACGTAGTTAGCGCTAACTGCAGTTAAAAAGTAGTTAAAAAGTGGTTAACTTTAATCACGTAGTTAAGCCGGTTGTATAAAAGTGTAGTTAGCCTTAACTGCAGTTAAAAAGTAGTTAAAGTTAACTATGCTTTAGGGTATAGTTAACTGTCCAAAACGTAGTTAAAAATGGCGTTTGTATAGGAGTGAACAACATTTTTCAGTAAAACAACAATGAAAAGCAACGGCTTACCTGAGATTTTCAATCGCTATCTTCCCTGTGAATGTTTCCTGACAATATAAACTCTTCAAATGCTATCGCTTTGGTGTTTTTACGAAAACAGAACATATTTTTGCACAGGAGGATTTCTCGAAGAAGTATGGTCCATTACACCAAGAAACACTGATATATAATTGCCAGACAGCTATGCCTTGGTTTAACGTAGACATCTGAAGGAAAAACTGCATTCTTTTATGATTTTTGTGGCGGTTTTTCTTTATTTTTTGTTTATTTTTCACTGTTTTCTAGTGTTTTGAATAAAATTCCCGCCTATTTGCAAAATACGAGTCCACAATCGTGTTCAAAATGTGTGTCAGCGGTCGTTACTCGCTGCTTACTTTATGTAATTTTCTGTTTAAACGCCCCACGCAAGCCCCACGCACAGTTAACTACGTGATTAGTTAACTATCCGACTAACTACGTTTTGTGCAACGCAGTTAAGTCATGTAATTAACTAATTACAGTTAAGGATTTAACTACAGTGATTAACGCTAACTACAGTTAGCGCTAATTACGTTTTTATACAACCGGCCCCTGCATGCTTATTACCTTATTACCTCATTGCTTGCTTATATGTGCTTACTCCCCTGCATGCTTATTACCTTATTACCTTATTGCTTGCTTATGTGTGCTTAAATATTAAATATTGAAAATCATCACCCTCTCGTAACTGTAAATACTGTTGAGTGTTATATAATTAGTTATATAGAGTTATTGATATGATGATCATGTACTATTGTCTGCCAAACTATTAATATTATATGTAAATATAAGAAAAGTTACTTCATTACCCCCAAATGCATGCGTTTCCAAAGGGAGCCTAAATTTAAATAAGCCTGCTGGTTTCATTTTAGGCTTCCTTGTTGCTAATATATTAATCGTGATTTCAATGTTTATATATTTATTATTTTTGTGTAGTTAAGTTAAATTAATGTATTTAGCAACAAAGCAAATCCATTAAACCATTAAACCTATTCCCCTGCATGCTTATTACCTTATTACCTTATTGCTTATTTATGTGTGCTCACTCCCCTACATGCTTATTACCCTATTACCTTGTTGCTTTGCTTATGTGTGCTTACTCCCCTGCATGCTTATTACCTTATTACCCTATTACCTTATTGCTTGCTTATGTGTCCTTACTCCCCTGCATGCTTATTACCTTGTTGCTTTGCTTACGTGTGCTTATTTCCCTGCATGCTTATTACCTCATTGCTTGCTTATGTGTGCTTATTCCCCTGCATGCTTATTACCTTATTACCCTATTAGCTTATTGCTTGCTTATGTGTGCATAATTCGCCAGGAGTATAACATACGCATTGCATAAATTTTGCAATTATGATAAACTTTCCATCGTTTTTACCTGTCCAACCTGCCCGTGCATCTTATACACTTATTACGCAATTACGTGTAATAAGACAAAAAACCGCAATATACTGGTCTTATAGTGGGCATGGTATAACTTCAGTTCCAAAAAGGAAATGTGTGGCAAACGCCCAAACACCTTACACATTGATTTAAGTTTTGACAACTTGTGTCATTCGTGAATGAGTGAATAAATTATTTATTTTGCATGTGACTCATGCATGATTGTGGCTATGAATTTGGTTCTGCATAATTATTATGAATATTATTAATAAATAATAGTGTGATTTCCATACAATTTAGAAAAACATACATTCGTGAGTTTTGCAAAGACTTGTGCAATTTTGATCATCTTTGACTTTGACAGACCTGTGTTTTTTGTTTTCCAAATTGCACTCAAAACCATACAAAACTAGAGAATATATTTATAATATAGCATTTGTAAATTCTGAACGCTGATTGGCTAAGAGCTGTGTTGATATAACTCACTGTCAACACGGAAAATTTCTTTCTTTATATTTCTTTGCGCAATATTATAAAAAATATATAAAATATTTTCCCGTATTGATATCAACTCACGTCTTACACACGCGTGGAAATTGGGAAAACTCGAAATTGTGGGAAACACTTGGGCGTCTAATCAACACGGAAAATTTTTATATTTGTTAAATATAAAACATTTATTTTATACACGATATATTTTCGTGTGTGTGACTAAACAAATACATTTCACAGAAATAATTACATTTTACGCAGTAAAATTACATGCTTATCATCAATCAAAGCTAGTGTACCATTTGTATGGCAGACAAGGTGAAAATAGGATATATTTACTGGAAAGTTTGTTGTACTTAATAAATAAGTAACTTGAAGTTCACCAGTTTCAGCAGACAAATATTCCACAAATATCTTGCGATTGGCAACATGAAAACCAATGATATTGTCTTGGTTGTAACAAACACTCAAATATTTGTTACCTTTACTGGGACGAAATTCAACAGTCCTTTGTAACTGTCCATCTTCTGTGTAGATGTAAAGAACATTTGACTGCTTAGTAACATTTATTGTTGTTACTATTATCTCATTCTTGCAGGAAACAAACACACTTTCTAACAAATGATTCCTCAAATCAGTGGTTAATGTCAACAGTTGCATTTGTGGCTCTTGATCTTCACTAATTCTGCATAAATGTACTACGATCTCTCCATCATCGTCCACACCGCAAATGACAATCTTCTTATCTTTGGTCACAGCAATGTAACAAGATTGTTGAACAATATGGACATTCACTTCACAATGATACTGAATGACTCCATCTTTAGTATAGACTGATAACTTGTAGCCAACATCATCATCATACCACGACAGGACATACATTCTGTCATCTTCATCAACAGCAACACAACAATACTTAATATTTTCAGTCTTTATATTTTTGGAAGGAGAAAGAGGAAACAGTTGCAGTTCACCTGTGGCTCCGCTGAGTTTTCCAAGACCACATTTATCATCCTTGCCACTTAAAAGACAAACAAGGTCTCCTTTGCTGTTAAGTGAACAGTTCCCACTTGGATTTGGGATTCTCTCTCCTTGAAGTACTTTATTGTTCCATACTGGACTATCTCTTTGATCATTTAGATTTTGTTTACTTTTCTGTTGGTAAAGAATTGGATTGATAGCAAGCTTATGTTCATCATGTTTTACCAAAGGCCAATCGAAAAGTGCAATCCTTTCTTTTCTAAACTTTGAGATAAATTCGGCCAAGACCAAACTGATCGCTGCAACAGATTCTAGAATTCTAGCTCGTGAATCTTTTTTGAAAAATGATTTTATTCCCTTCATAAAGTGCACTGAATATATTTCCGGTATGGCTAGTAGATTGTGCAAATCGTTCAGATAGTGTTCACAATCAGAGACAACCGTTTTGGGGTCATCCAACTGTTCAAGCATTCCGCTTCCAAGGAGAACAGTAGCTGCAAGAATACGTTCCTCTGAGCTCAGTGCTTTTACATGTAAAGCCCGTCTCGCTTCAATTACTGCTTGTTTGAAAACTTTCTTTGCTTTTTTAAATTGTTCTGAATCCAGGAAACTGTTTTCACCAGTATTAGTTTCACTGACAAGTGCCAATATATCTGTCAGATTTTCTGAAGTTTGGATTGAACTTTGCTTAAGGGTATTGCACACAATACCTATGTGAATGTAAGAGAATATAAAGGGGTTAATTACAACCCTGAAAAACAAATATCCTGCGTTCAGGGGAAGATTTGTTTAAATTCCTTTGGCACCCTTCGGCATTCACGTTGGCAGTATATGGAAGCTTGTGATGTTACTCTGAGACTGAGTGTATATCCACACCGGGTAAGCTTGAAAAGTATGCCTGGCCACGGTGGGAATCGAACCTACGACCTCTGGAATACTAGCCCAGTATTCCAGAGGTCATAGGTTCGATTCCCACCGTGACCAGGCATATTTTTCAAGCTCGCCCGGTGTGGATATACACTCAGCGTAACATCACAAGCATCATATTCACCTGAGTACACAACACCAACACAGAAAAAAAAGTACATATGGAAGTTATTATAAACGAACATAACTAGTGTAGATGATACAATATCGATATAACATCGAACGTTAGGATGTAACCCAGCGGCATGTATTGGGGGCTCAAGCCCCCCCCCATGTTCAACACTCGAAAAAAATCTGGTATTTCCGCACATCCATGAATATTGCCTTGAATATCAATGTTCATATTGAGGTCTTTTTTCTTGCTGATTAACATGCTACCGTAATTCTATGTAGTACATGAAATTCCCATGTAGAATTAGAGTAGGTCAAAGGCTGTTGAGGCCGACTCACAGATACTGTAAGATCAAATGAAAGTGACAGAAAGAATTAGAGTACACACGCTCCAGCCCGATTTCCGGCCCGATTCACAGGCAAACAGTGCGTGCAAAGCAGGCTGGTCACTTCCCATTGTTTAACACTTTAAGTGCCCCACACTCAAGTAGCCACAAATTGCTTCGCAACATCCATCGATATTAAACGAAAATCTATCGATATGTGTTTTGGCATTTTCGTTTAAATTTGCCATTTTTGGTCACAAAATTAATTTCTTTTTTGGTTTTGACAAAAAGAAATTAATTTTTTTAGGGAGTTTTTTAGGGAGTTTATTAGGGGGTTTTTTAGGGGTTTTTTTTAGGGAGTTTATCAAGAAATGTACGCCCCCCCTAAAATTCAACGTTTTAAAAATTGTACCCCCCCCCCCAAAAAAAAAAAAATCATGCGAGAAAAATTTTCCCCCGGACAATTATTTCCTTAAACAATCAACAACATCATTTGTAAAGTTGTAGAAAAGCTAGGTGTTGAAAGCATTTTCAAAAGCAATGACATTATCACAGAATTGAAAATAGACCAGAAGCCTCACTGTACACCTTTCTTTAACATTTTCGTGTCCGCGATTTTCGCCTTGCATATCACAAATTTCGCACGCGAGATGATGTGTGTGGCACTTGCTGCGAACATCACGTCAGCGTTCGTCAGCGTCAATCTGGCATCAATTCCTCAAATCAACGTTTTTTCTTGAAATTCACAAAACATGCTCGAAGTGTGCGCGCATATTCTGCAATTATTGTGTAAATATTTTATGCTTTTGGGTTTTAAGTTGTGTCTTCCTGTTGCAATGACCCATTATTTGGACCTGTGGCATTTAAAAATGGTGATCTTTATCAAGTGATAGCGTATTGCTTGTGTTTGATGTCGTGGTGATTACACTTGCTGGCTCGCGCCTGCGCATGAAAAATTTCGGACATAATTTTGGCTAAGTGGACCTTCTGGTCTATTTTCTATTCTGTGACATTACCAAATGACGAATAATCACACGGGCGACACTTGCTAGGAAAATGGCGCCCATGGGGCAACTTTTTTACTGAAGTTACACATCTGTCCATACTTAATCTATAGCCTGGGGCTTGTTAAATATTTAACTATAGTGTTTTTCTGCTAATCTAGAAATTTCTTTTATTTTTGCCCAATATTTCTTTGCATACTATCAAAGTCAAGCAATGTATGAAATTGCTAGAACTAAAATTGTACCCCCCCCCATTTTTCATCGACTCAAAAAATGTACACCCCACTTTTTTCTGATTTTGAAATTTGTACCGCCCCATTCTGAACACCAGCCTCCTCCCCCCCTTGGCCATAATTAACGAACAGTCCCTTAGAACAACCTATCTCATAAAGTACTTTTGAATAGAGACTATAGCAAACAATATTAACAAACATAAATAAATCTACAGCCTTGATTTACCGTCTGGCAAAGTAAGAAAGTTTGTTTGTTTTGTATATTTTCCTATTTTCATTGTACAGGTTTGTGTTTTACAGGCAAAACCATAGGGGGCCCCACTATGAGTTATGATTGAAATAATATTGTATTTATTTTTAAAAACCTACTTGAATTCCTTGATAATCGATTATTTTAGCCTGCGTAATGGCTCTCAGAGAAAGTAGAGCCTGCACGAAACCCCCTGCTTTGCCGTTTCCGCCCACTTAGCCTGCGGGCTACGCCCACTTTAAACAGATGTCAAAATTGGCCAATCACACAGATTGTTTACGTTTGCAAATTTACTTATCAAAATGAAATATAAATATAGATTGCTGTATGTTCGCAAATTTCAAAACGAAATACTGTAATATACGGATGGCGGCTAAAGAAGTCTGTGGGAATAGCGCTAGGCCTAGGGCAATCTCCATGGTTGTCACAAGTAGTTTGCAGTCCGTATCTACGATATTTCGTAGCTTTCTCGCACACGTACAAATATAATTTATAGTTTCGACAGCGGTCAACTGTGATGTATTAAATGTTAAAGTTTCGAGCGATGCTGATAAGAGAATATTAAAGGTGTTTAAAGCCATCACTTCACAGAGAGCAAGTCCTGTTCATAATACATAAGCATTTATAGCAATTCTCTCCTGGCACAAAATTATTAGCTACAAAATCATGAAGAAAAAATCTATTTGTCGTCGATGAATTTATGAAAACGAACACGCTCGTGAGTTGTGAAAGAGGCGCTGCTAACAGACAGCAATCCAACGAAGACACCACAGTCAATATCTCTAGAGCTTCGTGAACCAAGTTCGTAAATAACTTTAATGTTCAACCGTAAATCGTGGCCTTTAAGTTCTTTTGAATGCAAAACTCAAAGAAACGCCTCTCAATAATACATCCGCCGTCTTTGTATCAATTTTAGCATAAATTAGCATATATTTTTCATTTTGAACCAATCAGATTTCTCGTCCTCTGAGAGAACGAGTAAATACGGCAAAACAGGGGGTTTCGCGCAGGCTCTACTTTCTCTGAGAGCCACTATGCAGGCTACGATTATTTCTTCTCTCGAAATTCTGTAAACATTTTAAACTGCTTGAATCATTATACTATCACTCTACATGAAGTATAGATGATCGCTGACAAGTAAGAACGCGGGCGCGAAAAGACGAAGGCGGCGAAAGAAGGGAGAATTAAACTTTGAAACTTTGACTAGATGACATTTCTAAATGCCTTAAAATTCACAATTTATTTTTTTGCAGATTCTATATCTTTTTGGATATATCTTCACAACTGATGTAGTAGATTCAATAAACGATTGATTTTTCGTATGTTTTTACATGAAACACTCGAAGGGTTTTTCGCACAATGTGTTCCATAAGTAGGTTGTTCTCGTGACGTCAAGTATAATGAGTCCATTTAAAAGGTTTGCAGAACTTCAAGAGAAGAAATAATGGATGATCAAGGGATTCAAGTACGTTTTTAAAAATAAATACAATATTTTTTCAATCCTAACTCACATTGGGGCCCCGTGCAAAATTTCCGGAGAACAACCTACTTATGGAACACATCAAACGATGACCCGCCGAAGTTTCAACCCTTTAGTTTAATTCTCCCTTCTTTCGCCGCCTTCGTCTTTTCGCGCCCGCGGTCCTTACTTGTCAGCGATCATCTATACTTCGTGAAACATCATGTAGAGTGATAGTATAATGACTTCAAGCAGTTTAAAATGTTTACAGAATTACGAGCGAAGAAATAATCGATTATCAAGGGATTCAAGTAGGTTTTTAAAAATAAATACAATATTATTTCAATCATAACTCATAGTGGGGCCCCCTGTGGCAAAACATCAAAGAAAATAACCCACACACCCACAAACCGGTCCTACTAAGTACTAAAGAATGTCCGGGAATGCCTGGGAACATTCGTTGAATGCCCGGGAGTCGGGAAAGAATGCCCGAGGGAAATTACGTTAATTATACGTTATAGTTGCTAATAAAATCACTTATTTTATGAAAGATTAAATGATTCTTGTAATATATGGCATTGTAAAATACTGTTCACGGCTGTCACAAAAGAATGGCCGGGAGTCGGAAATGAATGCCCGGGGTAAATTACGCAAGTAATTACGTTAGTTAATGTCAATGATAAAAATGTTTTTTAATGAAACTCTGAATGTTTCTTGCAATATATGGCATTGCAAACCAATTAGTGGCCGAGATAAACCGCTGTTAACTGGATTATTGGTTAGGTATTGCAGTTGTTACAGGCTCTCCATTGACACGGTATAAAACTACTCGAAATAGTGAACTAAACAGTGTTTTTTAATAAATTTTAATATATATAACCGGTATTAATACTTATAAGTAATAGCATGGCGATTAGTGATTAAATGTACCCGAAAGCCGAGAGAGGTTTAGTAAAAGTCCCGAGGCGCGTAGCGCCGAGGGACTTTTACTAAACCTCACGAGGCTTGAGGGACATTTCATTACTAATCGACCGTAATGCCATGCTATTACTTTGTAATATCATAGTTGCCGAGGGAATCCGCGCGTGGTGTGTTGCCTGTTTTGAATGCTGTTTGATTGTCTTATGATTGTGGTATGAACACTTTTCATATATACGCACACGCAGAAACACATCTCCGTTTTCATTCGTTTTAGGCATGCGCATAAACGGAATTTTCTCCCACAATTGTAATGTTCAAGATTAGGGAATAAAAGCTGGCAAAGTGATTGTTCGAATGTGTACAGGACTGGGTCGTTGGGGAAATTTAGTTGAAAACAAAGGAAATTTAGTTGAAAACAAAGGATTTCTTTGTCTTCTAATTTTCCCTTGCATGCTTGATGAGGGAAATTTAGAAGACAAAAGCGTATGCGTGGATAATGAGGTAAATTAGTGATTAATCGTACCTTGCGAGACAAAGGATTTCGAGGCAACTATGGTACTACTAAATTAACACACCCGCAAATAGCATAAGCTAATCTGGGTGGGTATTGTTATAGGTTAGATATTAATTACATATAAATGAAGTGCAAAACGTTGTTTTTTTGGGTTGTTTTATAAAGATGGGTAAAAACTGTTGCCGAATATTGATATAAAGTTGTCACACCTTGGATAACTAACTGAAGTCGGTCGTATAAATGTTCGTAAATTCACTTTAATTATTTTGAATTTTGGTAATCCTATAATTTATTTCAGAAATATCAACATAAAATCTGCCTCGACAAGAACTTGCAAGAGAATTCAATGAATACTTTTCTTAAATAATATTAAAGATCGTTTACGTAAGTTGTCAGGAGTATTATTCCATATTTTCATACCAACACGGGAAAAAGAATCCTCTGACAGTTTAGTTACAAATATTGATAATAAAAGTTTTCAGCTTTTGATGCTCTAGTGTTATAAGAATAGATTGAGCTTATCCTCTTAAATAAGTTGGTTATATAAGGAAGAGTTAAATTGTTATTGATTTCATGCATTAAAATTGATACTGATTTATAATAGAGCATTTTTATTGGAAGAACATTAGAGGTGATAAAATAGTGGTATTGCATGTTCTCTGTTCGTTGAGAAATTCATAATTCTCAGGACATGCTTCTGAAGGACTAAAATTTTATTAAGATATATTTGAGCTGCTTGACCCCAAACTACCAGTCCATAAGTTAAAGTGGAAGTCAAGTCCGTATGTAAACAAACGGTTTGTTTACATTTTCAACTGCTGTATTTTTTTAAATGATGTACTGTCTGAATATCTAACACCATTTTGGTTCGCTATGCTTCTAAATGAATATGAAATAGAGTTTATGTTCAGAAAAATTCAAAACCATTCAAAATTTGGGCAATATTTACATTAGAGGTCCTCACATTGTTATGAGCAGAAACGATGCGCAGAACGGACTTGACTTCCACTTTTAATATGGATATATAAGAGAACGATAAATGTTTAGTAAAATTGGTAGGGGTAAATAATACCTTAATCTTGATATTATGCCAATTGTTTTGCTAATCTTTAACCTAATATAATCTATGTGCACTTTCCAAGATAAATTGCTGTCCAATAAGCGAGTACCAGATTTATGATCGAAGACTTTGAGATTAGGAGTATAATCAAGCTTTTTTTTATGAGAATGAAATAAGACATAATCCACCACTTCAGCGGTCAACAGCACGTGTAGTTTTGAAGGTTGTCACGTGGTGCAAAATGTAAACATTGCGGACATTTGTGTAATAGGAGTTAATATGGCGCTCACTATCGTTCGTGATTTGAATTGCAAATTTATATTGTAATTATTGTATATTTCGGTGTTGTTATACTACAAATATAAAGAAAAATGTCTAAAGATTCTATATCAGATACGTTTTCGTCTATGAATGTTGTTGGCCTCAAAAAATATTTGCAAGAACGTGGCGTAACAGTCCATGGCTACCTGAAGCCCGCTTTGGTAGTTATTGCTTCTGCTGTCGAGAAAATGATGCTACCAAAAGATCCCAATTTTGAATGCGACGACGCAGAGAAAAATTTAAAGAAACGATTAATAATTCATGATGTTGCTGTATCGGATTCGTTCACTTTGCCTACGCAGAATAATTTTATAGACTCGCCGCCATTTGGACTTTACGACATTTTTAATCATTTGATCTACCATTCGACTGATTTATACGACAAACAAGGACTTGCATCTTACAAATCATACGACGATTATCGCTTGTTTGACGATGGCTATGTGGAATCTTTGTCTACTACATATTTAAAGGAATGCGGATTGCACGTTTATGTTGGCAAAGTAAACCCGACAATGCGAATGAAAACAGACGAGGGTAAGGAACAATACGATTTGTGGTTTATATTGGAAGGAAAGGGGCCGAACCGAGGAAGTGTTATCAAGGCATTTTGTAAGTGCAAAGGGGGATGAGATGGCGGATGCAAGCATATCGCAGCAGCAATGTACTCTCTTGAGTTTCTTTTAAACACTGAGGGGAAAGACAGTGTGACAAGTGGAGTGTGTTTGTGGAAAAGAAGGCAACGAGCAAGCATTAAACCTTGTGATGTAAAGGATGTAAACATTTCCAAATGTGAATACGGTGAGCCAAGTAAAAAGAGAGAACATGAATATGTGTGGCTACAGAACATCGACCATGATCCAAGAGAGGAAAGATTTCGGAAGGAAAAGTCGCATGATGATATGGTGAAGTTTACCAGTGCAATGAAAAAACAGGTTAGCAGCTATGAACCTGCCATTTTCCCATTACTTCGTAAACTTTACCTTCCAGATGATGTACCAAAAGCAACTAGTCTAGCTGAGATGCTGAAAAGCTTAGAAAAGAGTTCTTGTATTATGGAGAATAAAATTGAACAGTTCATTCAAGATAGCAATTCTTCTGTGCCGACTGCAGAGAAATTTTTAAATTACCTGTCTTTCAGTGATTCAGAAATCATTGATGTTGAGCATGCAACTGTTGATCAGTGGGAAAGTGAAGATTGGTTTCTGCACAAGGTTGGCTTTATATCAGCTTCCAAGTGCAAAGCTGTTTTCACATCACAAACGGAACAGTCAAGAAACCACTGCTTGGCCAAATCAATTGTTTCAAAGCCATCTTACAACATGTCAAGTAAAAAAACACATGAACTTGATAATCCTAGGGACTGGGGGTTGGTAAAGGAAGAAGCTAGAAAATGTTACATGTATGTTGCAGGAAGACAACATCACAAGATCCGCCTTGAACGCAAGGGTTTTCAAATATCCAAAAAGAAGCCTTTTTTGGGAGCTAGTGTTGATAACATCAGAAACTGCAAATGCTCACCTGACTGTGGAATTACTGTTGTAGAGTACAAATGCCCCTGGGTACACAGGAACAGTGATCCAAAAGAAGCATTTTTATCAAAAGAAATTGGTGGAATTTTTACTGGAGATTCATACCATCTACAGAATAAGTCAAAATACTATTATCAAGTACAGATGCAACTTTTTGTTGTTTGTGCCAAGTTTTGTGACTTTGTTGTCTGGACGACGAAAGGCATTCATATCATATCCATTCCATTTGAATCATCATTCATGAGTTCAGTTTGCATTAATCTTGAGAAGTTCTGGGTGACTCAAGTTGTTCCATTATTATTGGCAAATCAACTGGATGTGCCATGTACAGGTAATGTTCATTCTAGTATGATTTAATAGATTCACCATACAAATAAGCAGTCAATAGCAAACATTGGCATAATTCACATTTAAATTATAAAATTACTGGGTTTTTTCTTAAAAGATAATATTAAGAACATTTCATGTGATGAAACTGCAAGCAATAACATGGCAACAAGCAACGACATGGGAGCAAGTAGTAAACGGACAGATGTGGATGAAATGGATATATCACCAACCATCAAAACACATTCAGAAGGTAGCTACTGCATGCACAATATTATAAGTACAGTATGGGAAAGGGGCCCATATAGTACTCCACAAATTTATTTACAAGAGTCGGCAACTAGCTTTTTGGTCCGTGGAGTAGACTTACACATGGACGATATAAGTACACTTGAGCAGAAGGTGATGATGAATGACAGCATAGTAAAAGTGTTGTTAGAGTAAGTTTTAACTGCAAGATATATATATATATATATATAGTTTTTCGTTTTACCTCAAAAAACCACAATGATTCCTATACGGATGAAACAGACTGTTGTGGTTTTTTGAGGTAAAACGAAAAACTATATTACGCTCTATCTATATGGTATTGAGCACTGTTTGTGTTTCGTAAACCAAAATCTTAAGCTATATATATATATATATATATATATATATACATATGCAACAAGTGTACACACTCTGCTTGGCAGACAAATCATAGATAATATACAAACAGGTTATAACACTGCCACGACTCCAAGTGAAATTATTTAATAAAGCTATATATATTTTTTTATTAAATAATTTCACTTGGAGTCGTGGCAGTGTTATAACCTGTTTGTATATATATGTATATATATATATATGTATATATATATATGTATGTATATGTATATGTATATATGTATATGTATATGTATATGTATATATGTATATGTATATGTATATATATGTATATGTATATATATGTATATGTATATATGTATATATGTATATCTATATATATCTATATATATCTATATATATCTATATATATCTATATATATCTATATCCATATCTATATATATCTATATATATCTATATATATCTATATATATCTATATATATCCATATCTATATATATCTATATATATCTATATATATCTATATCTATATATATATATAGTATATATACTATATATATATATATATATATATATATATATATAGTATAGCTTAAGATTTTGGTTTACGAAACACAAACAGTGCTCAATACCATATAGATAGAGCGTAATATAGTTTTTCGTTTTACCTCAAAAACCACAACAGTCTGTTTCATCCGTATAGGAATCATCAGGTGGTGAATAATTTCGAAATTGTAGGTTGCTTTTATGCTATCGAAAGAATGTGCGGAATGCGAGTAGGCGAAACAATGCTTAGGTGAAACAATGCATGCCTGGGTCATTAGGTTTTGTTAACGACCTTGTTTACTCGAAACCGGTTTTTGTGACGACATTTGCCGAAAATTTCGTTTCTTTTATTGAGTAAATTGTCTTTGTTTATGTCTTTCAAAATGCAAAGTTTTTCTTCCAAACATAAATTGCAGCGTTTTGATCCCCCTGTGTATGAAACAGCGTGTTTTAAAATTGACCATTTGATGGTATAATCCTGATTGTTTTCTTTTAATTTCCAAATATGTTTCGAAAGTTCCGTTATGTTTGAGTCTTTTTTATGACGAAAAGATGAAGTGTGGTTAGCGTAACGTTCCTTAAATGTAGTCGCTGTCATACCAATGTAGTGTTTAGTGTCGTTCGTGTTGTTCGTTGTCACTGTTGCTTTGTAAATAATGTTGTTGGTCATGCATTGTTTCAGTAGTGGGCAAGTGTTTTTGTTGTCGCAGTTACAGTTGTCAGTTTCCGTATTCTGTGATTGACTGTTCCTAATTATATGTGCGTTGTGTTTGGTGATTATAGACTTAACGTTGTTCATGCAACAGTAGCTTACTTTTAAAGTGTTTCTGTTAAAAATCTTGTGTAGTTTGTGCTGTAGTGGGAAGTGTTTGTCAATTAAACTTAAGAATTCCCATCCTATGTTCGTGTTAACACTCTTACTAAATGGTGGGTTGAACCAAATTATGTTGCGTTGCCTATTCCTACGTGTCCGTTGCGGTGCATCCTGAGTGTATGTAAATTCATGATCAAAGTTACTATGTGTAAGAGCGTTCTGGTAAATAGGTGTGGATTCCTTAAATGTTTGTTCGTCCGATGAGAGAAGTGCAATGCGTTTGTTGATAGCTGTAGGTAATTGTCTTGTAATGCTTGGTGGATGGTTCGAGTGTCTGTGGATGTACAATGGATTGTCATTGGGTTTCCTGTATGGTTGGGGCTTCGGATTTGACTACTATTACCGAGAACGATATTTCAATAATAAAATATGCAAGAAAATCTCTACCTTTCGGCAACGGCAAATTATGGACAAAAAAAGACGGAAGCAACAGTTTATTTGACGTCACTATGGATAGTTTCGACGGCGCTGAAATTGGTGAGTTGGTAGGCCTTTTCATTTTAAATCACTTAGGTAAGAGATTTGGCAAGGAAAACATCGGACTTTATAGAGATGATGGTTTGGCTATTATAAAAAGCAAATCCGCCCGTTTACTAGACAAAACTAGAAAAGAGCTACACAAAATTTTCGAGCAATTTGACCTTAAAATCACCGCCGAAGTAAATATGAACGTTGTAAATTTTTTAGATGTTACTTTCGACCTGATCAACGCAAAACACAAACCATACAGGAAATCCAATGACGATCCATTGTACATCCACAGACACTCAAACCATCCACCAAGCATTACAAGACAATTACCTACAGCTATCAACAAACGCATTGCACTTCTCTCATCGGACGAACAAACATTTAAGGAATCCGCACCTATTTACCAGAACGCTCTTACACACAGTAACTTTGATCACGAATTTACGTACACTCAGGATGCACCGCAACGGACACGTAGGAATAGGCAACGCAACATAATTTGGTTCAACCCACCATTTAGTAAGAGTGTTA